AATTTGTTTCCCTATCATCACATTAATCTATAAATATACTGCAAATCAATACCTGTAGACACACAAAAGGAAGTGAATCCCACTGACTGCAAAGTGAGCTAGCTAGCAAGCCCACAATACTCTGACACTTAAAAGCTTACTAGTATTTATAAAATATTTAAAGATTTACACTTAATTAGCAAAACCAGATTAATTCCAGCTGTGTTAGCTGTTCTTAATTGGGAATTTTCTTCTGACAGGAATAAAATAATAAGGATTATGAGTGACTTTTCAGAAGTCATGGAAATGTCAGTTGATTTCCAGGAAACTCAACAGTTCCCTACAGTAAAATGAAAAGTTTCTTTCAGAACACAAAACAAGACATTATCCAAGATGGAGAGAACTGTTGCATTAATAGAAAACTGAGATACCTGATCTGACTGTAAAGCAGCAGACTTCCCTCTTTGGGAGTAGCATTGCTTTTAGCCTGGAAACTGCAGATTAGAATTATGCCTGAGCTGCAGGTACAGGCATTTTAGTTTCATTCTCCCACCCCGATTTCTTTAGTAACCACGCAGCTTCCACCAAAGCTTTGGAAACCAAGAGACAACTCTGCTTGTATTTGACAGATTCTGAACGTTACTCAATTCCAACAGACAGTCTGGAGGTGATACAGCTTGGTCACGCCAAGTCACCTCCATTTACTTGGTCCCCCAGGAGCCAAGATACTGAATTTGGCTTCTCCAGCAAGTTAGTAGCAATGACAAACCTATTAATGGCTAGCACAGCATGTAACTTAAGGACAGAGAGGAGGTGGATGGAGGGAGGATGGAAGATGCTATGGTATGAGTAAGGAGAGGAAATGCCAGAAAAAAAGGATGAAGTTGAGGGAAATGTGGTGTGGCCAGACAGGCAATGCAGCAACAAATCACAGTTCTGCTGTTCACAAACTAACAGATGCGCTTCATAGGTACGTGTTATCTGCCTGCTTTGAGCATCCAGGCATCGCATTTAGGCAGGTACCTATTTAATTTTACTGCAGTGATAAAATAAAAACCTGGGAGACTGAATGCTTACTGACAGTGGAGCACTGTGCCAAAATAGAGCAGCAGAGTTTACTGCTCCGTAGGATTTCCATGTGAGAACAAGGCTTCACAGCAGCCCAGAATGTGGCAGCATCAAGCACATACAAGTGCTCGTCCAGATGTTATCCATCCTGTTAGCCTCTTCTCAGCCTTACAGAATCATAGAACAGTTAGGGTTGGAAAGGACCTTAAGATCGTCAAGTTCCAACCCCCCCTGCCATGGGCAGGGACACCTCGCTCTAAACCAGGGCACTCAAGGTTCTGGTCCAACCTGGCCTTGAACACCACCAGGGATGGAGCAATCACAACTTCCCTGGGCAACCCATTCCAGTGCCTCACCACCCTCACAGTAAAGAACTTTTTCCTTATATCCAATCTAAACTTCCCCTGTTTTAAGTTTTAACCTGTTACCCCTTGTCCTACCACTAAAGTCCCCAATGACGAGTCCCTCCCCAGCATCCCTATAGGCCCCCTTCAGATAACAGACGGCTGCTATGAGGTCTCCATGCAGGTCTCTTCTCCAGGCTGAACAGCCCCAACTTTCTCAGCCTATCTTCATACCGGAGGTGCTCCAGTCCCCTGATCATCGTCATGGCCTCTGGACTTGTTCCAACAGTTCCATGTCCTTTTTATGTTGAGGACACCAGAACTGCACACAATACTTCAAATGAGGTCTCAGGAGAGCAGAATAAAGGGGCAGGATCACCTCCTTCAACCTGCTGCTGGTCACGCTCCTTTTGATGCAGCCCAGGATATGGTTGGTTTCTGGGCTGCAAGCGCACACTGAAGCTGGCTCATGTTCATTTTCTCATCGACCAACACCCCCAGGTCCTTCTCTGCAGGGCCGCTCTGGATCTCTTCTCTGCCCAGCCTGTAGCTGTGCCTGGGATTACTCTGACCCAGGTGTAGGACCTTGCACTTGGCATGGTTAAACTTCATAACAAGTTTAAAGCTAATACTTTTCAAGCCAAACTTACATCTCAAGACAGCCTCCCCAGGACTCACAACTATTTGTGGTTTTTGCTACATCCTCCTAACACAGCCTGGACAACCCATTTCAACTCCTTTTGTATTCAGCGTGGAGGTGCTCTCCCCACAGAAATGTTTCTCCAGCTGAAACATCAGCTATCCTCACCTTATATGTCCACTCTTTTCCAAGGTAACTCCTATAGCTGAGAGTTCTGCCACCCTGCCAAACAGCATGTGTCACAAGTTGACTTCACTATAAACCAAGATAAAGGACCTGATCCATCAGGTGTTTGCCCCTCCCACCCCACCCTCAACCAGTAAATTAATCCTGGAGGAGCACGTGAGGTTCTGTATATAGAGTGCTTTTTTCAGAGTTCACTAATCCATTTCCTCCCTGTCCCAGGAAATAGAGTCCATCCCACATAATTCCCAGATAGTTTTATGTAAAGCCTAGCTCTTCTCAAGACAGTACCAGGCAGTAAGTACTGCATATGAAGTTTACAGCTAAAGATCAGAATTAAGGTGATCTCTGCTGTGACAAATCTAATCCATTGCTAGATACGCACAGCAGGAAGTATTTCACCACCCCCTGAAGTTACACTTGAGTGCTTTGAGAAACTGGAAATGGAAAAAGTTTTAACTGGAGCAAGAGATCGGGAGGCAAAGTTGGCCCAGAGTACCTTTATAAAGTACACATTTGCTTTGCAATATGGTGTAAATCAATAGCTGAGCATTTTTACTAGTGAATGCAGTCTTAAATCAAAGCCAAGTGGCCAAGGTACACACTGATCTCTAGAAGATGTGGGTGAGGCAGAGCCACACCTTGTATTACAGCATGACCGGGCACTTCACAGCCACTGCATAGGCTGTTGCTGCCTGAGACTTCCAGTGCATCAGTGTCTTGTAACATTCTCTTTAGAAAATACCCATGGCAGCACAGAGTTCCCCCTGCAATGGGGAAGATATGTACACTGAAATAAAGAGTTTAATAAAGCCTCAAATACTGACATTCAACAGACACTTTCTAGACCAGCTTAGTAACCATTGTCCCTTTGCACTGAACTTTCCTCTTTTCTGAGCTAACAGCACCCCCCTGTAGCATAACCCAGTCAAAACTGCACAGCTTCCTATACATAGCAGTCTGTAAAAACCCAGCACCTAATCAGAAAAGCCTTGTCATTACAGATTATCACGTCTCTGTGGTTTAAAGCATCATTTGCAACATAGGACCTTAGACACATTATCATTTCAGGACAAAGTATATTTTATTGTTACTCTCCAAACAGCCTGTAAGAGAGAAATGACAGTATTGAAAAAAACAAAACTGTGAAGCTTCTAGCTTGCATTCAGTGTTAAAACTTGGAGGTATAAACAGAAGCCTGGAGTAAAAATATTAAGTAAATTTCCAATCCCACAGTGCATAGAAACAGTAACAATGGTATTTATTCTACATTAGAAGTGTTCCCATGTTTAGTTCCATATATATGTTTCTCTTCTATATAAAATTCTGATAACTTATGTACAAATAAGATGTCCAACATCTGCTTTTTAATATAAATATGTAATCTTCATGACTGAAACATTACAACAGTTTGATCAGAAGTATAGAAAAATCCATTTACTTTTTTTTTTTATTGGCAGTGTTTAAACCTTGAATCCAAACGAACTTAGAATGATAAGTATTATTTCACCATAAAAATGCATTGCTCCTTCAACATGCAAAGTATTGTTGCATACGTGAGGCAGTGGAACTACAATAACAAAATCTAAAGAACATGTGCTGGACAGCCCATTCTAGCAAATGCTATCTGTAAGATTGTGTGTATCACAGAACAAAGAGTTAAGTACTAGTGTATGTTTAAGTAAAATGCTACAAGCTCAAGTATTGTCCTCGCTCTACTAAGAATTAAGGCAATCAAGAGTTCAGAAGCTTCAGTTTGGCATAGTTGTATTAAGCTCTCCCGCTTTCCCCATTAATACATTTATTTTAACATGTTAAATTCACTTTTACAGGCCTGCTGATACATTTTTGCTATACACAGTGACACAACTCAGTGTGAAATGATTAAGCAGTAACATAGTTTTATATCCCCAATCACACTGAGCTGATCCAATTTAAGCAACAGTTTCTCTACCAGCTAAATTTTCCAGCATAGATTTCTAAAAGTACTCAATGACTAGCTTCTCAGTGTAACTGATTTTATTAGTTGCATCAATTCTTGGGGTACTCTAGAATTTAAAGGTTCAAAATAGAAACAACAGTCAACTAATATTCAGCTTTACAAAGGACGATTATTTGCAGTAAAAATACTTTTATCTATAGACATATACACAGTAGATAGAAGTCAACAGGCATTTCTTTATGGCTTTTTTCACTGAGGTACTGTTACGACATCCAGCAACAGGATACAAGTGTTCATATGGTATGAACACCACATTCATAACGCCAACTCATGATAAGTGGCAACAGGCTGCAAATCCAGCTTCACTGCAGGATCACAGGAAAAAAAAAAGAAGTCTTCCCTGCTATGTGGAGGGTCTCAGTGCAAGCTACAGAAAGCCTCAAAGGCAACTGGCATAAACAGGGAAAATCAAAATGAAAGTCTCACTCCATTAGAAGGAGAAAAAAATACTCCTAGCAAATTAGAACCTCACAGTCAGGCCACTTCTAACAATTAACAGCAAACATTTGGGACATAATATTCCAAGGCAGAAAGGGCATACAGCACAGCAGCCACACAGTAAGACTTGAAATGAGTAGTTAAACTCTTGCATTTGATCCTTAAGCTAAGTGCATGCACAGGCTTAGAGCAGCCAAGCTGCCATTATAATACCACACAAGGAGAAGTGCTGCAAGCCAAAGATGAATGCTGTCAGAAAAGACGATGTTGGCAAGCACAGGACTTCAGCTGATGCCACAGTAGATGAAAAAACCCTGGTGTTTTATATTTTACGTAAACCCAAGTTTATATAAAAACCTCAGCTGTAAAAACTTTATTTGTGAATGCATATTTAGTTGCACTTTCCCATGTATTTTACATGAAGGGAAATGCAGATGACTTGCTTTCCTAGTCACTGTACTTCCAGCCCTAGTACTCTTGCCATAAGGGGAAGATGTTTTATGTTAAGACAGTGATTGTTGCTGTACATATTTAGTATTCCACCTTTACATCAGAAAATAATGGGGGTTTTGTTTGTTTATTCTTTTTTTTAGCAAGGTGGCCATACAGCTACTTCAGCGTAGACTTCTGGTTTTATCACAGTTATGCTAATGATGTGTTTCTGCAATAAATAACTGCTGGAGTAAAATGGAAGTTCAAAATATGCTCATCTAATTATGGCAATTAGTTCTTTCCAACCCAGTTGTTTTTTTAACCCCCAAACCAGGCTGCAGATGCTTGAGTGAGTTCCTTATAGGAAGATACAGCACAACATTTAAAATTTACAGCTCAGCCATATACAATTCATAGTTTCAATTTTTAAGCACTTTATGACATATCACTACTTAGATCAACAAATTCATCGTCCCTCTTGACCAAGTCATCTTCATCTTCCAAGTCTTTCCAGGTGCTGGTGGGTAGAGCTGGTTTGATAGACTGTCTCTGAAGCAAAGCAAATGGAAACAAGGATGACAGACGGGCAGAATTTCTCAGCGTTGGTACAGAATGTACATCCCCAGAAACAGCTTGACTACGTTCTTCATCCATTTTCTCCTGCAAGCGTTGCACTTCCTCCATCAAGTCCAAAATCTTGGCAGTTGTAGCTATGGTACCACCACCATGAAGCTGGGCTTCAGGAATCCATCTCAAATACCGTTGTGCCCAGACTTTGATTTCAGGGCCATCGATGCGAGGTAACAGAAGACCATGATAGTCAACAGGTTTGCTATGCCAGCTATCATAAAATTCCCTGAAACTATTAGGAAGTTCATCTGAAGAATTTATGAACTTGCCAATTCTTTTACCCAGAATATTTTTTATTAAATGATCCGTTTCCTCCCTGAAAAATCCTCTCTTCATGGAAGGTTTTGCTTGTGTTAATGGCAAAGAAAGTTGTCGCTGATGCTTTAAGAGGAAAGAAAAAATATACTGAAATAAATACTGATGGGACTTTAGAACACATTTTAACAGGAAGGAAAGCTTAACTTGTATTCAGAAAATAGTTACAAGCAGCAAAGTCACTTAAACAGAGACACTGCTTTACTATGTATCTAAAACTGTTACTCTTCAATGGCTGACATGCCAAATACTTCAGAGCATACTTAGTGTTCCCAGATACCTTCCCTGCGCTGCAACTATGGCAATGAGCTAGCACTGAATAAAGTGTTTTTCTGTGAAAAAGAAGAATTCTTTGCATACATTCAAGTATTATGGACTTCTATATTTAGTTTGAGCTAGCCACACAAGTGAAAGAGCACTTGATTTAGGTTTTATCCAGTGGTTCCTCATTGCATCCCACAATGTAAGAGTTCTCTGATTAACACTGCAGATCGTACTGACAGTGTCTCACCTGAGAATGCTGTTACAGAACAGAATTTAACCAACACAGGTATTATAATCACAAGAGGCTATTCTGAAGAAACTTTTCATACTGAATTTGTGCTAGTTTCCAGCAATGAGAGGGTCCACCCATAATCATCCGTACCCTAGACAGTTTTGGGGGTGGTGGTCCCCCTCCAAGTCCACATACACCACAATTACAGTCAGCAAATCAGGGAGACGATTACAGACCTGATTTGTAATTCAGTTAGGTACTCATTGGAACAAGAAAATAAATTCACTTCAAACATGTCACTGCAACTGGATGTTAAGTCCTATGAGTTATCACTACACTTGCACTAAAGGATGAAGAAGAACCCCCTGAGTTCACAGCTACATGCACCAACTGTAAAACAGTGATTTATAAATGAGGTGAGCGCAAACTGTATTCTTAAGTCGCAAGTGAGTGAGGTATACAGGTGTTTTGTAAATTAAAACAAACTTTGCACCAATACTTCCATTATGGGTACCTTTGACGTTCAAGTTGTGCAAAGTGTATTTATAATTTAAAAAAATAGTTAAGCAGCACATTTCTTACTTTAAATCGTGCAGTTTTCCGTTGACTTTTATCCGGTTTTGGCTTCTCTGCATAAAAAGGGTTGTTCAGGAAAGCCTGGGCCTTAGGGTCAAACTGCACAGACCAGTCCCACACAGTAAGAAATCTGAAAGGACCGCTTTGTGTCTTGAGGCTTTCACCACTCTGCCAAAACAAACAGGTCACAATTAATACTGCTGGAAAGGAATTCTGACCAAGTCAAGGTGAAATTAAGAAACTGGCTTTTTACAGAAGAGGCCACAGAGTTGCAACAACACTCATGATTTGTATATATTCAATAGCTGAATGACATTATTGGATGCAAGTGAGTACAGACACAAAATTTATCTATACATTATTTTCTAACTTCAGATGGTATTTCACTTCAACAGTGCAACACGACAGCACTGAGAATACCTTTCACAGCTGAAAATAAGACTGAATAATCTTAAGGGAAAAAATGAAGTTTTGAATACTGGGCAGAGGACAGACACTTCATTGTGGAATAAAACCTCTCCACATTTCAAAAGTTAACTACAGTTATGCAGTACTACCAGTCAAAATTTTATTATTAACAATTTATTTATATGCAAGCTAGCAATGTTCATTTTTTAGTCACTGTGCAGGCTTGCAGAGGATACTCCTATTGCTTCCAGCTTCTTAAGCTAAAGAAAGGCACAGACCCAATGTATATCAACATTCAGGAAATGTTGATTCTGGAATACAACAGAATATGCTTCATCCCTGGCAGTGTTCAAGGCTAGGTTGGACGAGGCCTTGGGTAATATGGTTTAGAGCAAGGTGTCCCTGCCCATGGCAGGGGGTTTGGAACTTGATGATCTTAAGGTCCTTTCCAACCCTAACTATTCTATGATTCTATGATTCTATCCTATACAAGAATTTTGTACATAACTTACTCTGCAGGGCAGGATATTCCTCTTAGGTTAGGGAGCTCAATTTTCACTGAATAACAATAAACATGAACGTATATCCATACATTATAAGTAATACGTTCCTGAGTTATTTTCCTTTTGTCATCATAAACACCCCAAGTCCTGAACCTGACTCCTTACCTTTCAAATAAGGGAAAGGATGGAAAAACATGCTGCTAGGGATTTTGGTTGTTTTTTTTGAGTGTTCCCTGCTTGTTGGTTAACCTGTTCGCCAACACATTCCATCAATAAAGTAACAAACGCTTACCGCACTAGTGTCTTTTTGATGTTGCGAGTTGAAAAAGAAAGTGCTAAAAATAGGCACATAGAGGCTGTCTGACAAGACAGTTAAGTAAGTTTCCGTGAACTCAAATGCTGGAGGATACTGTTGTACCAACTGCCAAACACAATTTAGCAGGAGCAGAAAAACAGGAGCCTAAATAAAGAAAATGTTACATCAGTTTCAGAAAAAAAAACCAACAAACCCGTATGTTCCACCATGCAGACTGTTTATTTTATAGCATTCAGTGTCTCCAAACACAAGTCTTAAGGGAAGCAATCTGGTTAACTGCAGAACTGCTGCATATAACTTTGGCTGAACTCTGCAGAAGTATCATCTGAGACACACTTGGCCAATTGTTGACAGAAAAGAGGAACACTTTCTAACCTGAATTTGCACACACTAAATTGTTACGAAAGCTGCTGCTGTGCAACCTTTTAAAGCTGGCAAAGCAAAACTAGTTTACAGCAATTCTTGATCAGAACTATCAGTCAGTCTACACTCACATGTCCATTCTGTATAGCAACCTGATGCATTCCCAAAATATAAACAAAAATGGAGAAGTGAGACTGAAACATTCAGCAAGACAATATAAAGTTAAACTCTACATGTGACAGGAATAGGCAAATCACTTTCGAGTTATTTCTGTGGACACTAGTACCATTTAACAGTTTAACGTGAGATACACATCTTTCAAAAGACTCCAAGATCGAATAGGAAATCTCACATTTGCTCTCTTTAGAGACGCTGCTGAACTCTAAAAAGCAAAAACAGTGACACTGTACAAAACACCAATGCATAAACCAAAACAAAAGACTCTCAGATTAACTGGAAGTTCTGGACTGACATCTAAATCCCTCCTTCTTCTAAGTAAATGTTTAAATAATAAAGAGAATAATAATAAAAAAAAGTCATACCTCCTCTTTGTCACTTTTATGTAAGTGGTTACAGCGATCCAAAAAGCCATGTCCTCCAATTACCCACTCCTTCTGAATAAGGCTCTGAAACCCTGACTTTGTTCTGCTGTATGAATCCATCATCACTTGAACCAGACTAGAGATTACACAGCACAGATCAGTAGCACTCTCTTCTATAGAAGACAACAGAAACCACATTGTCTACTAAGCCATTCCTAAAACTAGGGTAAGAAAGCAAAGTATTGCTAGATTCATATAAACAAAACTGTATTTCAAGGTCAGAGAATCACACAACTTACTGCAAGTGTTACAGAGAGAAGTTAATCCATGTTTCTAATTTGTAGAAGTGTAAGGTTTCTTGTACACTTACACTAGGGTAATACTTCAACAATAAAACCTGCAAACCCTAGGGTTCACCACTATAACTTTGATGACTACACCCTTCAGTCTCCCATAAGGCACATACTACCCTTCCTATGCTACCAGGCCAGCTATCTGTCCTTACCCTTCCTACCCTCCATGCATCTTTTCACAAGATGTAAAATCATGCATCACGCATTCTTCACCCTTCAGGTGTCTTCTAGAAATATCTCTTCTCCATGATAGGTTTCTCAAATAGCAGCGTGTGGGGAAAAACCCAACCAAGTTACTAATCCAAAACCAGCTTAATGGTTAAACATTGACTTTTGTTTTCCATGCTATTACTCCATCTAAGAAAACAAACTGCTCAAGATGTCTACAATAAGTGTATTCTTCCATGATTTTTTAATAAACTACATAGTATTCAGTATGTATCTAGAACATAAAAAGCATCCTTTTAGAAAGTTTTCATGCTCCATGTTCTTTGTGTATGTGTGTCCCCCCTACCTTAGTGTACAGCAAAAGGCTGTAAGACATTTAATAGAAGTTAGGAAACAGGAATGCATAAACAAGAGGTGGAGTGACTCTACTACCAGTCTATCAGCAGCTTTGTCGTCCACAATATATTTCTTAGCCTGTAATCATGCTTACTAATCTTTTTTAACTACAGAAACCATTTCCAGGAGGGTGAAAGATTTGTGTCTAGTACTTTGAGTACTCTATGAATTTTACCAGCCTTTACCATAATTATAAGCTTACAGCTTAAGCTATATCTAAAGAAAATCAAAATAAACTAATAAATAAATAAATAAATAAATATATATATATGATAATCTCACTGAATTCTTACCTATAAGGAGAACATTTGTCTGCTGTCTTTCCAGACACTCAGCAACTTCTATTGCTTTCTTCAAAACTCGCCTGTTGTGGTACAGATAAAGTGAATATTTTCATGGCATTTTTACAATTACTTTTCTTACATTAGCTTCTCCTAAAAGGGGTTAGAATGTCATACTACTGAAACTTGACTAGTCCTTTAAAACAACAAAACCATTCTCAACTTCTGCAAATGAAGCAAGTTTGCACTTGAGACTTAACAGTTCAAGAGGCATCTTTGTTTGGCCACTGGTCATGCATTTCAAGTTGTACGTTTACGATACAATACTTTCTGCTGGATCAATAGCAGCCATTACACACACATGCTAAAGTATTACAGTTGCCAAGAGCCAAATCTCTATCCTGGAAAGATACATCGCCACACTTCTGCTGTAATACACTACCTACTACATTTCTCACACAATATGGTTTTAAGGGGCAGAGAGGGAAGTATCAGCAATCAGACCTTGTAAACATGCAGATAAAATTTATTCAGAGATTACCACTACACAAGGAAGACCAAGTGGAGCTAAAGATCACATAAAACTAGATCTAATGCTGTTGGTTTCTAGACCTAGCTCGTCATAAAGTTGATTATTTTCAGCAAAAGTCTGCACACAAGCTAGGATTCTTGCAACTGCTTAGTCACTAATAGAAGCTGACAGTTTATTTCCTGAGTCTGGAGTAGTCAAATTCCTTGTTCTGTTCTCTAGAATAGCTGAGAAGGCACTCCTACTAACTGTAAAAGCCACGAAGAGCCAGATCCAGGAAGCAACTGGGTCCAAGTATGAAAATGACCAGCATCAAAACAGTGTAAGGATAGGAACTTGTGCTGGTACTCACTTTAAACTACTTTTAATCTTGGTTATGTCAGTGCATTTCTCCACCTACAATCTTCACTAAAACCTCCCATTCAACATACATTTAAATTTTGGATTAACAAATTAATAATTATTAGTATTGACTGTTATTAAGACTAGAAAGAACTGAAGCTGACTGCAGAAGCACTTCATGCTAACAAGCCTATCACAGAATAAACTAGCAGACAATAGAGCTAGCACAAAGTAACACTGAAAACAAAGCCCCTCAACATTCCACTGTAACAAGCCTTAAGTTAGCCAACATCATTCCAACACTTACTCACTGTGGACTGCTGAGAAGAGAAAAAAGAACTTGAGGAAGGATCAGGAGAAGGGAACAAAACTGAGAACAATTGTAATTTTATAAATCTTTGGTGGGCTAACATCTTGAATACTGCAGTTCATCCTGTCCTAAAGGATATTACAGAAGTAGAGAGCACAGAAGAATGGCAAGGCTAGTCAGAAACACAGTACAGGTTTCATGCTGGAAACAAATAATATTCTTCCGTTTGAATAGAAGGTGACTAAATGTGGGAGGGAAATTACTAGACCTAGTTTTAATAGGTATGCTGGAAGAGTTGTAATTGGAATGATTTACTGCTTCAAGGTTTTTTAGTGTGGGGACTTAACACCAACCTGCACTGTAAAAACAGTGTCTCAAGTTGTAAAACTTGGTACTTAAATGGGATTATAAATCTGTCCTAAATTTCATTTCTACTGGAGGTGAAGAGTGTCATCGTATTTCAAGAAATTAGCTAGAAAACCCACAAGTGTACTTAACAACAATTTGAAACCCAAGAAATTAGAGATATAGCAAACCTGATTATCTCTAGCCAGCTTGTGCTCTCCAGTAACGAAAACCATTTCACATCAGTTGCCCAGAAGTCTGTACTGTTATCTGAAAAACAACAACAACAAAATTGGTTTGTTCACATGTGTAGTGCTAATCATCAGCCATCTATTGTATTACTCTTCCATTATGAACTGCTATGAAACAATCAATACTACAGAGCCAGTAAATTCCAATCACTGGTATATGAACACCTTAAAGCTAAATGAGGAAGTGAAGTAGTTCTACAAACACCAGTACAGTTTTATAAAACCATAGGTTTTTATAGAAAGTATGCTATAGTCTCACAGCAACCAAACCGAGTAAATAAGTCTGTTGACAACATGGGAAAGGGAAAGAAGTTTAATAGGAGGTGACGGTTCTTCCACGTTCCAGTTGCCTTGACTCTTAAGCATGATCTGTGTAAACCTTAACATAAGGAGGCTAGATTTTGAAAGTCATTACCATTACAATCAGGAACAAATAGATTTTAGAAGGTTACACAAATTTACGGCATGCAAGACTACCCAAAAAAGGTTTTAAACAGTCTTCACTGCAGCTGAAGAGGCACTGAAATACATCAAGAAGGGAATAGCTAAGATAAAGAGCCCAAACACAATAGCAGAAAATCATTAAACTCTTCTGAACTTTGCTAGCTTTCCTATAGCTTTTAAAATGCAACCTAAACCTCTACTGCCCTCCCTCCCTGCTCCCCCAGCCCCATTAAAGCTGGTATTATAGAATCACAGAATAGTTAGGGTTGGAAAGAACCTTAAGATCATCAAGTTCCAACCTCCCTGCCATGGGCAGGGACACCTCACTCTAAACCACCTCACCCAAAGCGTCGTCCAATGTGGTCATGAACACTGCCAGGGATGGAACATTCACAGCTTCCCTGGGCAACCCACTCCAGTGCCTCACCACCCTCACAGGAAAGAATTTCCTCCTTATACCAAATCTAAACTTCCCCCATTTAAGTTTTAACCCATTACCCCTTGTCCTATCACTACAGTCTCCAATGAAGAGTCCCTCCCCAGCATCCCTATAGACCCCCTTCAGATAACAGAAGGCTGCTATGAGGTCTCCACGCAGCCTTCTCTTCTCCAGGCTGAACAGCCCCAACTTTCTCAGCCTATCTTCATACAGGAGGTGCTCTAGTCCCCTGATCATACTCATGGTCTCTGGACTTGTTCCAACAGATCCATGTCCTTTTTATGTTGAGGACACCAGAACTGTACACAATACTCCAAGTGAGGTCTCACGAGAGCAGAATAAAGGGGCAGGATCACCTCCTTCGACCTGCTGGTCGCACTCCTTTTGATGCAGCCCAGGATACGGTTGGCTTTCTGGGATGTGAGCGCACACTGAAGCCGGCTCATGTTCATTTTCTCATCGACCAACACCCCCAAGTTCTTCTCTGCAGGGCTGCTCTGAATCACTTCTCTGCCCAACCTGTAGCTGTGCCTGGGATTGCTCTGACCCAGGCGTAGGGCCTTGCACTTGGCATGGTTAAACTTCATGAGAATTAAACTTGGCTAGGGATTTTAAGGATATCAGGAGGGGATTCTATAGGTTGGTAGCAAATAAAAAACAGACTAGGGACAGTGTGAGCTCCCTCAGGAAGCTCTCAGGAGAACCAGCTACACAGGATTTGGAGAAGGTTGAGGTTCTTAATGACTTCTTTGCCTTGGTCTTCACTGGCAAAGGCTCTGACCACACCACCCAAGTCTTGGAAGGGAGACGCAGGGACTGTGAGAATGGAGACCTTGGGCCCACTGTAGGAGAAGATCTGGTTCGAGACTATCTTAAAAATCTGAACGTGCACAAGTGAATGGGTCCTGATGAAATCCATCCGTGGGTCCTGAAGGTGCTGGCGAATGAAGTTGCTAAGCCACTGCCCATCATATTTGAAAAATCATGGCAGTCAGGTGAAGTTCCCGGCGACTGGAAAAAGGGAAATGCAACCCCCATTTTCAAGAAGGGGAAAATGGATGACCCAGGGAATTACAGACCAGTCAGTCTCACCTCTGTGCCTGGCAAAATCTTGGAGCAGATTCTCCTGGAAGGCATGCTAAGGCACATGAAAAACAAGGTGCTTGGTGATAGCCAGCATGGACCACTTGGTGGATAAAGAACTGGCTGGATGGCCGCATGGAAAGAGTTGCGGTCAATGGCTCAGTGTCCAGCTGGAGACCTGTAACGAGTGGTGTCCCTCAGGGATCGGTGTTGGGACCAGTCTTGTTCAACATCTTTGTCTGTGACATGGACAGTGGGATTGAGTGCACCCTCAGCAAGTTTGCCGATGACACCAAGCTGTGTGGTTCGGTTGATACACTGGAGGGAAGGAATGCCATCCAGAGGGACCTTGACACACTTGTGAGGTGGGCTGAACTGGAAAGCTCTCAAACTGATCCGGTCAATTAAAACCAGAACAGACTACCTTTCCTGCATAAGGCACAAACCCTGAAGCCCTGAAGGTCAAGACAGTTCTGCTATGGAGGAACAACTAAGGTACACCACACTCCCCTCCTTCCCTATTCTACCCGATAGCTTCAGTTCTGCACGTTTCTGTGTACCTTTTCACTTCCCAGTGTCTCTCTGTACCTTTCAATGTTTAATTCCAACACATACTCATTTCTCCCTTTTCTGCAGCTTGCATCTATGATCCTCAAGCACACAGGCGTGTATCCATTTTCTTCCTGTAGCTGTTCTACCCCCATGCCTGCTCTTGTTCCTGCTCATGATGCATTTAAAGGGAAAGAAAAAAATAATCTCTTTCCCCAATTCATTTCACCCTGACCACAGAAACTATCTCTCCACAAAAGCATCAGATTAAGCGTGGCTGGCTGTTCATTTTGTTCTGTCACACTCAGTCACAACTAGATGCAATAATGTGTATGCAGACCTCTAGAAACAACTGCTTGGGCTGGCTGTTCTACCTCCCCCCTTATAAAGTTATCTCCAAGTCAAACCAGGAAATTCTTTTCAAAGGCACAAGAAAATACTTACAGCTTGTTTTACCTCTTACTCAAGGTATTTTGCTAATGACCTCACAATAAAGAGCAAGCTTTTCCTTCCTCCCTATCTTGTAGGATCACAAAGAAGTACTCCACAAGGATTTGAGAACTGAAGTGCTCAAAGCCTCCAAGTATGTGGGCAAGTGGCATACACTGAGACTTGTGAGCAGTCTAGCAAAACCAGCATCTGCCTTTGCCACATTTCAAATAAAATGAGCAATTTAAGAGGATCCAAGCTGTTCCCATCAAAATCCTCTTGCAATCAGCTATGCTACTGTGGTTTCTACTTTACTTAATGAGAATTTTTAGAACTGAAACTTCAGATTAGGCATGTGTTTAAGAAAGTTAAGTTATATTGGAAGTTTATAGAGGAATAGAATGGTTTAGCTTGGAAGAGACCATAAGGCTATTGTCTAGTTCCAACCCCCCTTGTCACAGGCAGGGACACCTGCCACTAGATCAGGTTGCTCCAAGTCCCATCCAGCCTGGCCTTGAGCACTGCCAGGGATGGGGCAGCCACAGCCTCTCTGGGCAACCTGTGCCAGTGCCTTACTGTAAAGACTTTCTTCCTAATCTTCCTAATAGCTAATCTAAATCTACCCTGTTTCCATTCCATCCTGTAGCCATTCCCCCTTGTCCTATCAGTACATGCCCCTCTCCAGATTTCTTGTTGACCCATTTTAGGAATAGGGAGCTGCTTGAAGGTCTCTGCAGAGTAGTCTCTTCTCTATGCTGAAGAAGCCCAACTCTCTCAGCATGCCTTCACAGAAGAGGTGCTCCAGCCCTCAGAACACCTTCATGGCCTCCTCTGGACTCACTCCAATAGCTCCACATTCTTCTTACGTTAGAGTGCCCAGAGCTGAACGACCAGAGGTTCAGTACATATTTCCCAGAAACCGTTTGTTTCCAATTATGTCAATTTATCAGCTAAATTCCATGTATAAAACCAGCAGGACTTGGTTACTGTCTGTAGGCTATGCTACAAATATACAGTTCCTCAATGATGATCCCTTCAGTTACATCCCACATCAACAGCCACAGGTGAACTGCCCCAGTGTTCCATATGCCACTAGAGGCTATTGCAACATTGACCCTCATTATCTTGTAGAGGACCCACTGTTCAAAATGGTCCAGTGGCACACTGCACAGTTGCAACATGTGTGGAGCTTTTTTCATGCCAAGAAGTGAGCTTGAAGTAGTTTCATGACAGCAGTATAGTTAAGAGTCTCATAAAAGTGTCCAAAAGCCTAGCTTACACTTTCGCAACTCTCACTTTAATTTCTTTTAAGTAGACTTACTATTTACAGTAGTCATGTTTCAGTCCTACAGTCAGTGATAGTCTTAGGCAACCTCTGCTTCACATTTTGTGACGTGAATAGTTTGTAACAAAAGCCAGTGCAAAAATAAATTGGCATTCAGACTCATCTCTTGACATGGTGCAAAGGCTCAAAAGGTTCACACTTAACTTTAGTGGGCCCCACAGGACTGAAAAGGCTCCCCCATAAATTTTGATCCAGCTGGTGTATTCCAGCTACCATTTAAAGTCCAGTCACTCTTGCAGATACTGTGACTGTTTAGCCAGAGGTACTAAGTCTAAGAATTACAAACCTCTTAACATGTCAGTCACAAGCACACTCCTCAGTTGTATTTAAAAATCTGGTTTTAACCACCATCAAGACTCCAATCAAGACAAGGACTGCATTCATAAGACATAAAACATGCTTGTTACGTTTTGCATCTAAGTCACTTTAGAGACTAAAGACTACTTTAAAGTTTGACTTACCTATCAAAAACAGTTGTTTAAATTTTGTGTATGCTGTCTGGATATCTTGCAGAGAGGGAAGGCTGCTTGACAAGTCATCCATCTTCAGGAGTTCATAGGGAGGTTTGCTAATTGTCTTATAGATTCTAAATCAAATCATCAAGAGATTAAAGCCACCTGCTTTACAAGCCAAATAATGTACCAGCTATTATTACTGAAGACAAAGTTAATGGGCATGTTTTGGAAAAAAGATGAATACCAAAGGATATACACTTGGAAAGCTAATGGCCTTAAAGCATTTTTAAATACTGGCTGGAAGCTTGTCTACAAGCTTTTGACAAGTTTTGCTGCTCTTAACTGTTCCACTGATAAAAGATTTGTGCAGTTATGAATATTACAAGCATTACTTGTTTTTTGCTACTGCTTCTTTAGGATTGTCTTCACTAAATAACACTAAAATTACTTCACGAACAGGCTGTTTAGAGATGAATCCAAAAAGAAAAGATAGATAGAAATACCCAAACCTCCTAGGAGACACTGTTTTTCTAGACTTTTACCATCCACTTGCATTCTGATACCTAGCTGCTAGGTCTGCTAGCAAAACACAAAAGAAAGAAACTCAAACAAGACAGTATACCTGCCTTGAAATTCCCTGCATATCTGATATTTTTTTTCCCCTAGAAGGAGAGGAAAAAAAATAGCAGGCTAGATGAAGCTTTGCATTCGACCCAGAATGTCCCCTTCTCTTTCACTCTCTTGAGCTCAGATGAACATCAGCTTAGTAAATACCTCCGTTGTCATATTGGCTTTCTATTGTCAAGATTAGGGAAAAGCTGCCTTAGCTCATGGCTCAGAAGCGAAGCCTTGCAGGCATTGCTATGACAGGACAGAGTACTTTATTTCTTGTTTGCTGTAGCATCGTAACCTGCTTAAAGTGAGAACTACAGGTTCCATATCAGATATGCATTTTACTAGACCTACCAGAAGACGTATCAGATAAGAGAATTAAGGGAAAGCAATCACTTGTCAACCACAATACTTGTTCCACAATGAAGCAAACAGTTTGTGCTAGAAGATCTAGCTCTGGACAGCTTTTTCAATAAGAAGCCATTAATTGTAAACACATGCCATGTGCTTGAGTTCAGACCATTATTACAATGGCATGTTAACACACCCTTTTAGACAATTTTTTAGATAAATTTTTAAGCACTAGTGGTTAATCACCAGTACTCCATAGCAAAGAAAACCATCAGTAATGTCCCAAGTTCAGATGGCCCCAGACAAGGGATCAAAATACCAGTCAATACCTTGCTACAGCTTACTGCTAGTTTTACTTACTTTCACATTATGAAATAGCATTAAGAAGACTTATAACTCATGTAAACCTCTCCATTTCAGGGGAGAAACTTGAAAGCAAATGCAGGAAGGATCAAAGCCTTTCCCATACAAGTATAATTAATTTTGTAAATGAAAGATTTTAAAAGCCTAATCAAGCTATTTTTTGTTAGTTCTATGCAATTAATGGGTTCTTCACCTATGAGGAGAAAGGAGATAGCAGTGAAGCAGTAAAAATCGTACATATTAGCCTGATCTAACAGCTTGCTGCAAGAAGAGAAGTTTTCTCAAGGACACTCAACAGGTTGGAGAAAGCAGAGGAAAAAGCCATCTTTTGTTCTTGCAGTAACTCAGACAGGCAGCTATGCTCTTGCCCTTATGTTAACTTTGGCATTTCTCAAACTGCTGAGCTAATTCAGCTCACTACCTCAGCTGAATCAAACTGCTGTCTGTCATCACATCTGAAAGTAGCAGCAGTGAGCTGTTAGATTGTCTCAGTCATTTTAGGTCACTTTAAAGTTATTTAAGAACATGAATCTAGTTCTCATAAGACAGAATTCAGAAAAACTTAAAACTCAGCTTGCAAATCCATATTTAGAGATGGGGTCTACACTTTTCTTACTTGCAGACACAACTGAGCCCATCAGCTAATGGTACACTAGCTGTACTTAAGAACTACAGGCTTTGGTGCTGCTTTACTTAATAATACATCACAGTTTGTACACATATTCATCTGATGTGTGTTTCCACAAAGCCGTCAGTGATGTTACAGTCCTGCACAACTGACAGATGCTGTCAGGCCAAGTGATGAAACCCATTCCACTACAGAAAACTGCTTCTACATTTAGAATTTGTTTCCTGATGCGTGCAAGCTTAAAGATATAGCATATATGGAAAAAGAGAAGCAAGGTCCATACCAAGCAAAGTGTTGTGGACAGAATAGCTATTACTGACCCATCCAAGAAGGCTTTTTGTGTTTGTGAAGTGATGTCATCCTGTTCTTTGGGAAATGCAGACATTTTGAGAAGAGCAGCACCGTTATGGCAAGACCAACACCAGATCTGCAGAAAAACATTGACCAGGTGATGTAAATTGGTAAACTGCTCTCTACAAAGCATTTCTTAAGTGACAAGTGATGACAAGAAATTTCTCTATGCTGTGCTTCATTGAATTTTTGGTGTACTCAGTGAACACATCAATAGAAGCAAACTGTTACATCTGCAATGTGCCTCAATACAGGCATGCCTCAGTGTTATCACTTGGAAGTTTTGAGCTTTACACATGAACAGGTAAATATACAGTGTCAGATTACAGCAGAACATTACTTCCTCTAATGTTCTCATAGAAAAAAACAAAATTGATCATAACATTTATGGCCAAATTATGTGAAAGATAGGCCATAGCAAGATGGCTTTTAGAAATAAGTCTTATATTAGCCATCAGTTTCTCCACATAGATATAGCTGTGTTTTTCTTATAGTTCAGCCTTGAAATAACTCATAACAAATACACTGTCATGCTTTTCCATGAGACATGCATAAGGGGTCATCTAGGCACAGGAAATAAGATACTGAACTTTTTACAACTGAATAAGATTGCATAGTTACAGGTATTACTAGACAACCTTTCAAGGTCCTTTCCAACCCAAACTACTCTATGAACCCATGAATGCAAGATGCAGTGAAAGAATTGCTTCCATTTCTGTGTAACAGCCACTGAAATTTGCCTGGTTGACTACCAAGAACAAGTGAATCAAACTATTTTGAGTTCCACTATCTGAAAGGACACCTTAGGCAGAACAGTACAGCACTATCTACTCCATGGGCCAATTAATTTAAGAGCATGAAGAGAATGTTGTTTTTCTTGGCAAATTTGATGGACATGCCACAACTAATGTAAGCTCTCATAAGTGAAGTTACTTTGCTCCTTGTTTCCATCTACTCTGCTTTACTGGTTCTTAAACTCTGGTACAAGGCAGAAAGGCAAAGCCAGTCTGCTATGAGCTAAAAAACATTATATTTAACTTAATTTTCTGTTGAAACTGGTAGAGCTAGTTTTGAAAAGTGATGCATCATCACAGCTACAGTACTTATCATCACCCAGGCTACATAACTAGAAGTATTCGGCTCTACCTGTACATGGATGGCCTTCACCTCAGTATTCAAACAGCATTTGAAGCCCTACATCCTGCCACAGCTAGATGCCAATCAGTAGTCATTCTAATGAAAAACAGGCTGATGGATAGAAAGACTACTAGTGTATGTAGACTATAGGACACCAGACATCTGGCAAGTAAATGTACACTGTGAACCATACGTATGTTTTGTTTTGTACTGATTAAGAGAATACAGACTACTTTGAGTGCTTCTTCCACCATCTGTTTCCCCTTCTAAGGTGACTAGGTATATGTGTGAGCTATAAAAAAAAAAGTTTTGAAAATAATATGCACCAATATCCAAAATGCTAGTTGGAATTTTGTCTTCTCAATAAGATTTCTTACCCCCAGCCACAAATACATACTCACAGGAATGCCTCTGCCTTCATACTTCAAGATACTCTCTTCAGAAACACATATGGGAACAACAAAATACAAAGGTAGCCTAAGATAACAGAAAAGATTTTTGCACTTAAGAACTGAACAAAGAACAACCTCAAAGTTCATTTCACTGATGATGAGTGTTCTAGCCCACATTAATTATATATTCACCTTACTGCTACAATAATCTTTCCTACAATATAATTATATTGTCCTCAACACCCCCCCCTTACTTTCAGCTGGATAAGGTTTCTTCCAATCTTGAGCTCTTTATTATTTTCACTGCAACATTACCCACTTAATTGCAGTCTTTCCAAGCCTGTAATTAAGTCCTACATTTAATTGTAACATTGGTTGTTAATACCACCTCAGTTCTCTCACTTGGTTTTTCAAAAAGATTTTTAGTATTAGAGAACTAGTTCTGTTTCCATGCCTTCTAAGCCATTCACATCACAATTAAAAGAATGTAGTTTTATTATGAATTTCAAATATCAACCAACACTATTAATGTTCAAGGCCCAAAAAAGAAACAAAGATAAGTACTTAACCTCAGCTTGGGTCTCTCAAGACAGCTCTAGAATAAATATTTAAGACTCCATTGAAAACTGCTCTTTATTTCCAAGGTCTTTGTAGCCTTTCAGGATCGGACTACTAAACAGGAGTACACAAAGCCTTGTATACACCCTAACAGGTTCACGAACAGATGCTACTTAGCGGAACTGGTAGAATCACACATCTCTAGCCTTCTACTAAAGGCAACACAACTAAACTTCCACCAGCAGATTCTGCAGCCATGCTTTAAACAATCTTTTCCCCACTCAGTCCCACAGCTAAACCAGAAAAGTCTCAAGTGCATCTAACTTAATATTTTACCATAGTAAAGGTACATGACTGAGTAAATGTCATCCTAACCAGTAACTAGGACAGAAGTGTAGGTACCAAACCTACATATTTTCTATTCCTGAATAGCCTGACCTGATGTTGAAGTTAACCCTGCTGGAAGAGGGGTTGTGTAAGATCATCTCCTCAGGTCCCAAATCAAAAGTATCCCATAAATCAAAATGGAAACCAGATCCTAAAAGAAAAAAAACCCTAAACAATTGTACAATGCTCAAAAGGTAGCACTGATTTTTTCAAATCTTAATGAGACCTATATCCAAAGCTCACAATTAATGAGGGCACGCTTACTTTTCAGAGACTCTGTAGCCTTCATTGGTAGTCACTACTTTGTATTTCACATTCCCTTTGGTCCGCTCCAACTCATCACGCCAGTCCTCAAGAGTATCAAACATTACAGTTTGGTTTCTTCCATCTATCAGACATAAAAATGTTAACTTTGCAGACAATCAGGAAATCTAAAAAGAATGCATTCGTATATCAAGTAGTTAGTTTTCATTAAGGTAGGCAAGCCAGACCTCTTATGTACAGAAAGCCAAGTCAAAATGCCTTTGTATAACACACTGCTTGTCTGATTTTTAACAGCTTATCTTTCTGTCAAATACCACTTTAACTAAAAAATTCAGGAACAGTTTCTCCTACTGTTCTTAGAGAACTTGATACAGTTGAGGTTGTCCTCACTTCCAGCCTAAAACCCAGGATGCTGAGCAGCAAATGCCACTGTATACTAGTGCAGCTGACTGGCATCTAGTAACACAGACTTAAATGTAGAATTAGTAATCATACCAAAAGCCCTTCTGCAATTCAGGTATTGCATTTCATTTAAAGTTCATTCTTTTACCATGGATAGGAATTTTGCACTGAATAGAACATTTCAGGCACTTGGTAAGAGAAGAAAATTAACTACAGCAATTTAAGTCTCAACCATTTCAGTTGAGAATTTCTGTATTTCTATTTAGTCACCTCAGCAAGAATTACAACAGCAGGTTGATTTAGCCTCAGATCTTGTATAATAGCCATATAATTTATGGAGTAAGTGCAATTGTTTTAGACACCCATCATAATTAATTTTCCTGCAACATCAGCTAACACAGAAATACCAAACAGAGCTAGACTTTCCACAGAAGGTATAACGGCAAGTTGAAACTTTCCACCTCAACAAGATACAGTAGATGAAAAATTTATAGCTGGAAACCAAGTATTATTAATGAGCTCTACGGGACAACTTAAGATTTTAAGAGTATCAGGCCTTAAAAGGTATAAACCCCGATTTCTAAAGTCTACTTGGTTTGTCCTGTAACAACTTTATAAAGAGTGAAACTAGGCAATTATTATTAAAGATAGTTATTAAAATATGAAAGAATTTTGGCACAACACTTCAATGCCATCAAGACTAGGCTTCTCCCACTTTACTTACTCTATACCTGGAAAAGCTTAGAATCTTTCTGACGTTTGTAGTTCAAACTGAAAACCAGTTACAGATGAAGGCTGCAGGTACTACCTGAGCCAGCAATATGCTCCTGCAGCAAAGGCAGACGATGAATTCTTGGGCTGCATTAAGAAAACCATTGCCTACAGGTTGAATGAGGTGATTGTTGTTCTCAGATCAGCATTTGTGAGACCTTGCCTGATGTGCTGTGTCCAGGGCTGGGCTCCCCAGTACAAGACAGGCACAGACTTTGCTGGACCAAGTACAGAGTAAGCCCATTATCATCAAAGGGCTGGAAGCACTTGGTACGAGGAAAGACTGAGGCCTATGATCATTCAGCCTGGAAGAGAGAAGGCTTCGCAAGGGCACAGAGGGCCAAGAAATCTTTTCAGCGTGTATAAACACCTGACTGGGGGTGTAAGCAGGGGAGGAGAATAAATAAGATTGATCTAGATTCAATTGTACTCAGTGACATGACAAAAGGCATTGTGCACAAGCTGAAGTACAGCAAATCCCATTTAAACATAAGCTTTCTCACTGTGAGGACAGTCAAACAATGAAACAGGCTGTCTGGAAAGGTTGTGGAGTCTCCATCCTTTGAGGTGTTCAAAACTCAACTGACTAGGTCTTGGCAAGTTTGCCACAGTTAAACCTACTCTAAAGAGGTGCAGATGGACAGGAACATGACTATATGATCTCCACACATTTATTTTAACCTCAATCCCTTGACATATTTTGATAAATGTCTGATTAATAATTTGGGTACATCAAAACTTCCCTTTGAGAAAGGAATAGGTGTTCCTAGTGAATTACAAAAGAGGTTCTTAATTCAACATATTGCTATTATTTCAGTTGAAGTCTGAACTTTGAAATGCTAGAAAGTGCACTGACAACTTTTTTATCTTGAATTTTGCAGCTTACTATACTACTCAGCCAAGACTGATCAAGTGGGAAGATTATGTAATAAGTTAGCTATAAGAGGAAGTCAAATGTCTAATAAAACCTTGCTATGCAAACCTATGTGCTTTTTTCTGCAGTTGCCTAGGAGAAGCAGATCACTTGCAAATAAGAGCAAAAAGGGAAATACTTTGTCAGATGCCACTGAAAATGTAGTAATTTAAGAATTAAGAGCAAGACATTTGGTTCACTTCAATAGGACGAAAAAAACTCACACTGATAAAATAAGCAAAATATTTCCCAAATGAGAAAGAAGCTCTGACTCTAATCAGAGGCACATGAAACGCATTTGCACACACGTAAGCTTTCAATCCAGTGATGCTACTCCTGCTTGAAAAGTTTCTGTGTAACTATATTGAAGGACACAGAAACCAACAGTAGAAATCAAGAGATTTAGCAACACATCTAACAATGTATAGCAACAGAAAAATCAATCTTCTGAGGGCCATCTGCCAGCAGAGCAGAGTCACAAACTCAGCTACTAAGCATCCCAGACTGCTTAAGGAACTTACAGTATGCAACAAAGACAAATCAAAAAAAGAAAAAACCATTTACCTGTGTTTTTTGGGGCAGCTGACGCATAAGAGAACAGAAACAAGCGTTTAAGCAGCTTAGGAGTCTGGCTATGGTGAAGTATACCACTGACAATCTAGAAAAGGACCAAAAATTAGCACCCAAAACCAGAGCAAGACTATAAACATAAAAAAAACAAAAACATTTTTTACCAGTCCCGTTTTAAACAAAACTGTTGAATGGGTTCTATTCCCAACAGCTGAAAACTGATTTTTAGAAAACTTTCTCCGTTGCCTGCAAGATACTACACCTATGTGGCTTAACAGCAAATATTATTATACATGTTTAACTTCCAAAATTATCATTATTTAAATACAGGCAGTAGACTCCTAGTTTGGAGCTCAAATTAACCTGTCAAAAGACCTCTAGTTACCAGGAGACTAACTGTTTCCACATGAAAAATGATGAAGTCTAAAATAATAAGGTTATATACCACAAAGAGAACAGCTTCACAAATTTGCCTGAGCTGATTTCATATACCACTCCGATTTTCTTCAATAAGCCAGTGCATTCAATCTTTAGCTGCTATACATAACAATCTTTGATGAGGAAGGTCAGCTAGAAATCAGTCTTTTTTTTCTCTCTCAATTGGGAATGAGCAGAAAACACGCTAATGGATCTCTCAATGAATTTCAACCTTCCCTTACCCCCACAACTAAACACTCAACACCAAGCTTAAGAAAGAAAAATTAAGTTACTACACTTACTCTTTTCACTTCCTCTTCTTTTGTGTATCTCAGACAGAAATTAAACACCCTAAGGTCTTTACAGTAGATAATTAACTTCTCTGGGTATTTTCTCAGTTGTCCAGTTAGAAGTTTCTTTTTCTCATCATAAACTGCAAAATTAAAAAGTCTAAGTAAATACCAGCAAGAGTATCTGTTGATAAAGCTACCCCTGCTTAACTCTTCAAATTTTGAAAGAAACTAATTCAAGCCCAAGTGTTAACAAGTAAAAACCCTATAACACACACTGACAAGCTCCTGTGCTAATATACTTAACTTTATTTTTCTTAAACCAACTCAAGGTACTTCCTGCAAGGTAGAAAACAAACTTGCAGCAAGCCAGCTGCTGAGTGATTATTTCTGTTCACATCCTGACTGTGTAGTAAGTTCAAAGTTGTGAGATGCACAAAGAACATATTTTAGTAGTTCTGCCCTAAGGAAAGTCAAACTGAGATCTTTCCATCTTCCTAAAAACTACTTTTTTTTTTAAGCCACCACAAAGTAAGTCCCCAGGAGAGCCCTTTGTTCACTTCTGTTTGAGGATATATAATTTCAGAACTTCAACTGCTGCCAGCTAGGCCACTGTATACAAGATTAAACAGCGTCTTATAACCAGTTTTCACCAGTCTCTCCCTAGACCACTCCCTCACAAATCCACACCACCATTCATACATATTCTAAATACTCTGACACCTGTCCAAGGTCAGGCTTCTCAATAAAGCCTTTGCTACTATTCTCAAATGACCAGCCCTGTTCTCATTTAGTTTTTTTAGCAATACAGGCATACCTGTAAATCCTGCTCCAAAACATTCACCAATTTAATTGTAAATTAAAACCTCATTTTCTGTCAACTTTGCCATTCTGAAGACACCATGAATCTCACAAAACAAAGCTCATTTAAACAAAAAAAAACATTGTTTGGAATTTGCTATCTGTACTGCTATGCAGTGCTACTGCTCAAATGAAATGAACGTCTCCATACTTATAGGATTAGTCAACATACTGGAAGATCCTTGTGTACCAACCTTAATCAGAGACTTTCCACAGTACACTCTTCTTCGAAGCATGCCATTTTCAAGGTATTGTTTTGTTTATCCCAACAAGATAATAAAAATGTAGCTTTAAGAAGCATTAGGGATACGACTGAGCTCTTCTGTATATCTTATCTGTTATTTTGTCAAATATATCTGCATCTGTCTTTACTGGACTACTCAATCCTGGCCCCCACAGTGTCCACTCTATCAGATTTCTAATAAGGAAGTACATGTACAAAGAGCACAAGACTACAAGACACTTTGAAGTATGAGGCACGATCAAACAAGAGGAGAAAGCTGACTTACCTCCATAGATTTGATCTACACATTGCAGGGTTATGTCATTTTCTCCTACAATCTTATTCTTAAATTGGAGCTCCTAGAACATGAAAAACGTTCTTAGAAATGTCGTAATACTAGGCAGTAGCACCTTAACACAAGTGCATGATGCGTTCAGAATGTATTTTAGTGTCAGAACTACTTATTTTACAAGCTGTTAAGGCAGAACACTGAAGAACAGTTGCTAAAATACCCACAGATGCAGGTTACACATAGGCATAGTTTATAAACTGCACATCCAGTTTTGTCTCAGCCATGCTGAAACGTAGAGTTTTACTTTTCAAATAGCTTCAAAGCATAAATTTGTATTGAAAGTTGCTTTTCAAACTAGAATCACGGCAGTAAACAGGAAATAAAGTAACTTGATGTAATCCAAGCCCTTTTATAACAAGTTTCCTTGCTATGGGAACCTGGCAGGAAACAGAAAATCTCTTCAAAGAACAAGTATCCCAAGAATATTATACCATAACAGCCAGATTTATGACTGGGTAAATTATTTTATCTACTATTTTGGCAAACTAAGTGATCTGGGGCTTCACTCACTTTTAGAATTCCATGAGTTCAGAGTTTAAAAATGACATTTGAGTGATGCCACAATTAAACACTGTTACGGTATCTACTATTGTTATATATTATTACCAAAAGGTTGATGTACACTACATCAGCAAATTATATTTTACATGAAGACAGCTGTGAACAGAGTTAACCACATTCAAGATATTTCCACATCTGTAGTACTCTGAATCAGATAGCCAATACTGAATTTCTGTTAAGTGAAATATAGTTGACTTAACATGCTATAAACCCAAGATTTAAAGTTAGTGATGGAATGGAAATTACCATGGTCGACTTTACTATCAACGTTAGCACAAATCTCAGGTGATCTGTGAAAAGGGCTCTGCAGGTCCAAAAACCTGTATTTGACTGCAGAAGCCTTAGTGTAACATCTAATCTCCCTGAAATTTTACCTCAAGAAACTTCCAATTACAATCAGATCACTTTCTTCTTCACTGTTAAGATCATCCCGAACTTGAGAGCCATATACCAGGCTTTCCTTCACTTTTATCACATAAATGGACCAGACTGTTTCAGATACTTAAGTACATCAAAAAACAGGTGTGGCACTACCAGTCCCATTTGACAGCTCTCTTTGAACACCTAAACAAAACAACATTTAATTCACTTCTAAGAATTGGCAACTTTTAAACTTTTTTAATGTTTGACAGATCAACAGTATCTGATTTTTAAATTTTTGCAGTCAACCCCTGACTTTGGATGGAATAATTCAGAGCTTTACTGAGCCACACAAACAGTTAAATAGAGCATTTCCACTGAGTAAAGAGTTTACTGAGTCTTGTGTAGCCCTGAAATGTTCTGCAAGACGTAGCCTAAATTCAGACACATATTGTACAACATTCACACTTCTGCAACTTGTGCTAGGCAAGCAATCAGAAATCAGGTTTAAACAGACCATTACTTTTCAAAACAATTCATTCTTTTAACTTAATCTTCACAAAATTACCAATTCATAAGATACAAAATTGTATAAAATATGTCTAACACAGGCTTGCACTGTTTTTACTTAAATAGTCATGATAGTTTGAGGAAGGATCTGCATAGATCAAGCAGATGAAGACCATTAAAATTAATCTGCACCTATTAAAACTGTTTTTAAAAGCTATACTCATTCTGTATCCTTATATAAGGAATATTTAGTCAGGGATACTACATGTCTTCAGAGCCTGTTTGGTCATAATTAGAAGACTTGTCTTCCTACATTATCATCTGAAGCAGAATCATCAAGGAAAGCAATCTTGAAGTTTGTGCACACAAGTTTCCCATAGGTGCCACGGTTTGAGCCGTCTTCTTGTATGTATTTATATACCATGCTTGCCTCACAAAGCAGCAGTTCACCTGTACAAAAGAAACACTGATTTGAAATGTAACTGACATTTATAATTGAATTATTTAAACTGCTATGTTAAATGCAGCACTAACTTCCTCACAGTTTGTCACATGAGAAAATATTCCATCACTGTTACACAAAAACATTAAGAGACATCTCTTGGAATCTGTACCTTGAAAGCCTTCCAGGTTATCAGTACTACTCAAGATGGACTGAACACTGTTCAACTGCACACACTTAGTTCTGTAACCAAATACCTCTACCATGGACTGGTCTAAGTGGTAGGAGAGCAACACATGGAGTTGCAAAGACAAGCCATACAGTGTACTCAAAAAAACCCAAACCCCACCAAAAGGAGTTTGTACAGTCAAACAAGTTTAGAACTGTTCCAATTTTCCTTACTGTTAAGCTCTAAAAATGCTGAAACATTTGGTTTTGTTATGACGACTTCATCACAGTTAGTTTTTCATAGCTTTGACTGGAGATATTGCTTATTTTACAGGTCCCAGGGCTATTTGAAATTTCTCAAACACAAGTCTGCAGTTCTAATCTTTAAGTTAACAGGAAGTGAACTTCAATTTTAAGAAATTAAAACCAGATTCTAGGAGGTATAATCAGACAGTCTCTTGGTCTTTCCTATTACAAAACAAAACAAACAACATAACAATACTAGCTTGTTATAAACTTTTACTTGTATTTTATCTTAGTAACATCATCTTTCCTGATCTCTGAAAACATTTTTTAAAAGAAAGAATTGTAAATAAAAAAAAAAAAAAAAAAAAAAGCCAAAACATAAAACAGTGAATGAGGCATCAGAAAGTTTAAGTAACTCACAGTAGAAGCAAAGCAACTAGAAAGTATGTTTCCAGTAGTTACTGGCCTTCAGTATCCAAAACCACCTGAACAAAACACAAAACTACCTAAATTTATCTTCTAAGAACAGGCTAACTGAAGTATAAACAGTTCTCCATACGCAACTCACTTGAAAAAGCTATACTCAAACATTCAAATCTACAGTTTTTCAACATCTATGTAGATACAGATACTTGAAACATTTTAACCCACATGTTTCAACTCATATTGAAACACCACCCTATAGTGTAACCCATGTTACACCAAATATATTCACTACCTGAGACACTGATGCCACTTAAGTGTCTGCTGCACGCATTGAAATATTTAAATACCATTTACATGACTGATTTTTTCTTCTTTAATTGTAATAATTCAATATACAGCAGTTACCTGGTAATAAGTGAGGATTTACTTCTTTTTCTATGGGTTCCTTTACGTGTACTTCCTAAAGAGAGAAAAAGTAATTATTACTTTGCAAAGATTGTACCTTCAACACATGCTGTACATAACAGCATCTTCCTGCTTAAATTCCTCATATTCTAGAAACTAAGCAAACTAAAACAAAGGAAAACTTCCTAAATTAAGGAAATAATTTTGCAATGTGTTCCTTCCACTGCAGGTCATCAGACTACTACCTAAACAATTAAGTCAGAGGTTTGATACCCACAGTGTCAGTTATATGCAGCTGTGCACATAAATAGGAAATGCATTACGTGTGTGAGTAACTGACAGAAATAAAGCATTCTCAGTAATTCTTAAATTCTCTCAGCGCACATAAATAAGCATACACTGGAGACCATCATTTCCCAGAGTTTGTTCATAAGCTTTTCCACACTTAATATTTGTTTCTAAGGTATCCTTCACAGTTTTTCGAGCTTCATCTTTCACTGTTTTTTATTTTCTTACATATATTATTGCAGTCAAAGTACAAAAGTTACTAGATTATAGGGAAGTTACCAAGATTATAGGGAAAGGTATTTCAGATTCCCAGGGTCAAGAGATAAAACCAGCCACAGGATATCCTTTAGTTTGGACATAAATTCCACAAAACAAACTTAAGTTCTCAGTACCACTTATTCTAGTCTTAAGGCACTGACAGTTGAGCTAAAATCTCCAGCTGAAAGATTATTAAACTAAAGGACATGCTACACCCTTCCTGCTCAGCTAGTTCAGAACTTCCTTCTCCAAGTCTAGTAATGCCTTTACATACATTGAAGTCTTTCTGGAAAACTATTAGTTAACTGGAAGTGCCGTTGGGGCCATAGCAGTAAGCACAGTAATTTTAGTTTGCCATCAACACTGAGAGTCAGATATTGCAAATCAAGGCAAGAGACATAAGCAATAACAGGTTTGCTGGATTAAATACAAAGAAACAAAGGCTCTTGTGAGCATAAAAAATAATCCCCCTTTCCCATTCATATAAACACTTGCTCTCCATCACTCAGAAGACTCAAAACAAAGCTTGCAGGCTGCACAGCAAAACTAAAACCACCAGGAAACTACGTCATGAGAACGGCAGAAACATTAAAGACAGGTTGAAAAGAGTCAAAGGTTATAAAATGAAAGAGCGGGTAGTGTGAGTAAAAAAATCTGTAACTACAGCTGGCAGCTAATGCAGAAACCAACACAATTTACTGCCCTGGACTTCAAAGTTTGGATATTGTGAATTTTAATCAAAGTTCATGCTTGGCAGCCAAATAAATCACTATGCAAACACGGCTCAAGCTGAACACTGCTGTCTTCAAAGAAATACATACAGGTTTACCACTGTGCCTCTTCACGGCTGGTAGCTCTAAGTAAAACCAAAGCTCCAAGCTAAACTGGGTTTACTAGTGCCTTTATTAGTATGCCTTCTACTATCACTATTTTTGTGCAACTAAATGCAACACTACTTGCTCACAAACTATATGCCAACAATCACTGCTAGAGAACAGTAAAGCAGTATACTTAACTAGGTGCTTTTCCAGTGACTTTCACTTCGGAAGATATAAGGCATGCAACAACTACTGCTTACGTGTACGTACTGCTTGAATGCCTGTACTTATTGCTATGAGTACCAGTGTATGTAGTGTTGGTAGATAAGACCTGAGGAAAAAAAAATTTACCCCAAGTAAGTTCTTCGAGCTTAAACCCATTTGTTAAAATACAATGAAGCTTTTATAGCAGATATCACAGAGGCGAATAATTTTGAACAAGTGGTTTGGGTTTTGGTTACAAGCTAGATTGGTTATCTTCTGAAAGGAATTAGAATTTTAATTAAATCCCATACCAGCAGCATAGAGACCTCAGTCAAACACAGAGATCAGCTTGTAATATCCAGTTTCCCTCTGTGTTGACAGAACCCCACAGACCTTGAAGGGCGTACTATATGCGTAATTCCTATAACATAGGACAGCTTCGAAAGGCCAAGATTCCAGAATACTTCTGTTTGAAACTCAGTATTTATGTTCCTGTAATGAAACCATATTTTAAATACAAGTCATAAATATGCACTTTGAATAGGCAGAATGTGACCCATGAACACTGAAGAATCCATGCTGCTCATTTTTCAAGGAAAGATATTAAAACACATTAAATTCTAAGAATGTCACTAATGTCACATTTTGCATTTGCTCTTTAAAAAAAAAAATAAAAGAAGGTAAAGATCTTCATGAAGAAAAGTTGTTAACTTGCCCTGATTCAGTGCAAGCTGTGTGGAAACTCATAAACTTAGCTCATATTTCCACTGTGTTTCAACCTTATTGTTCTAATAGATTTCAGTTTGGGGGCAACACAGATCTTCGGATTACTTTAAGAGCCTGCAGACACTAAAATGCATCCTCCTCAACACTCCTTTATTCAGCCACACAGTTCATACTCACCCACCCGTTTTATCCCTGGGTTTGTATGACTACATGGTGAGGTAATTCCATTTGTAAGATCAGCTGGAAAAATCTGTCCTTGTGCTACATTTGGTTTTGTTGTTACTGCCTATTGTTAGCAGAATTGGCTCATCAACAGGTCAGATGAGCATAGAAACAAAAGAAAGGGAAGCAGCAGAAGCAAGTTTGTCCCTTTCCACAAGCCATTAAATCTACTCAGACCTCAGGAAAGGTCACCTTCTGACCATTTGTTGAAGTTAAGCATGCAAGCACTTCCCATGTATGACCAACCAAAAGCCATACACACCTCTAGATAATTCTTCATCTGTAGCTTCCCTGTTCTGAATGCCTCAAGCAGCATCTTGGCACTTCTTACTGAAGGTACAACACAAGAAGCACCACTACCAGCCAGCAGCTAAAAGCAGATATGAATATGACACCACACAAATGAGGAAAATTTGGATTTTGGATTGACTCTGAAGTTACAGAAAAAAAGACCTCAACTTTGCTGAAGGTTTTATAAAACTTCTTTCTCAGAAATGCTTCGCAATTGTGCACTCATCCTACATTCCTATTTACAGGCTGTCAAACAATGGTAAGCAATACAGCAACACCCCATTATCAATTGTAACAGTACAGAGTACCAAATCATACCAAAATTGTAGGCTGATGATGTGTCACATCATACTATTTCATAATGCACCATTCTTCTTGTTAGTTCAAACCAACTCTACTCCACTCTCATGATGTATCACCTGGAGTACTACATTCAGTTCTGGGGACACAAGAAAGATATGGACCTGCCTGACTGAGTCTAGAAGAGGCATGAAGATGCTGTGAGGGCTGGAGCACCTCTGGGTAAGGAGACAGAGAGACTTTGGCTTGTTCAGCCTGGAGAAGAGAAGGCTCCAGAGAGACCTTAAAGCAGCTTCCAATGCCTGAAAAAGCTACAAGAAACCTGGAGAGGGACTTTTTACAAGAGTCTGTAGGGACAGACAAGGGAGAATGGTTTTAAACTGAAAGAGGGGGGATTTAGGTTAAATATTAGGAAGTTCTTTACTGTGAAGTGTGGTGAGGCCCTGGCACAGGCTGCCCAGAGATGCTATGGCTGCCCCATCCCTGGCAGTGTTCAAGGCCAGGTTGGACGGGGCTTGGAGCAACCTGGTCTTGTGGAAGGTGTCTATATCCATGGCAAGAGGTTGGAACTGGATGAACTTTAGGGTCCCTTCCCACCGAAACCATGCTAGGATCCTAAGAACATCAGCTGATTCCACTATGAAACCTGCAATTGCCAGGAAAGGGAGACACCATGCTTCTTACAGATCTCTGGTTCAATAAAGGCACTGTTTTCCTAAAGGAAAACCTCTTCTTCTTGGCTTTTACCCGAGTATAGGGAATAACTGCACAGTTTGCAATACTCAGAGACTAATTCAGCTCTACCCCAAAAATATATTTAGAGGGGCTAAAATATGTTCCCCAAGTCTGTCTAGGGAGACTTGTCTTCCCCAAGTGCTGAAGCCTTAAGAGAGCCACCACTTGTGAGACATCATGAAATTAAATGCAGTCAGGTCAAACAGCAGTTAAGCTATATTAATAGGGTCTTGAAAGTTAGGGCAGGAGAGGGATCCCAAATGAGTCCTGTTTTTTGTCCTAGAGCCTTACCATAATTGAGAGCAATTTCTCACCTCCCACTCCACAGGGAGGTAAACAACTGTAGCCAGAAAGTGAGTAAAAAGTGGAAAACATTCCCTGGATCTTTTCAGAGGATTTCTTTTTTTTTTTTTTTTTAATCAGTATTACAGAAGATGTATATAGGTCTATTGATGCTGGGTGTTGCTTACCACTCTCATCAGGGAGCCCACAGATACAGTCTGCTGCAGCAAACCATATGCTGTAAACTCTGAACCCACCTCATCACTTAGTCATAGCTGGACATTTGTGCTAGAGGTAATTCCAACAATAAAAACCAGATTTTTAGTAAACATACTGGAGGAAAACAAAACATTGCTTATTAGACTCAAGTACTGAAGGAACAAGTTATCTCTTCTTCATATCAAGAGTGCTGTCTGAAACACATTCTTTCAAGGCTGACAGCAAACAGCAGTGCTATGAGAACACAGGCTATTTTAATGTTGCTATACAGTTTTTCAGAAGAAATCTCTGCACTGAGAAGCTCTTACACCATGGTGAGGCTTACTGTGAACATCCATTTCTTTTTTACTTATACTTCACCGAAAGGTGACAGAGGTCTGAGATAGCTTTCTTAACCATACATTTATCTTTGTCTGTTGTAAAAGTCAAACTGTAGGCTGAAATCTTTGCAAGTTGGTTGCGGTGCTCCTACAAGCAAATAAAGTATTGATGAGTAAAATAAATCAAACTTCTAACAGTTCCACTGGAATTTCATGCGAAGGAGGAAACACTTGTGTGTATGCCTAGCATCCAGTTTGTATTCATAAACAAACCACAATACAGTCTTCGTATTTTCTGAAAGATTCTGTCTTGGTCAAACAAGCCTAATCCCATGTTGTGTCATACAACTCAGAGGAGATATTTACTACACTTTTATTAAAGTACTAAAAATAATCTCTGTTTTCCTTCCTTTCACAGCTACATTATCCAATAGTCCATTAGATCATAGCACATGTTTTCCATGTCTGTTTCATCTTTTACCCTTTCCTCTTTCCTCACATTGTACTGTCCATCTCCTCTGACATCAATGCCCAGCTTCCCCCATGTCAGTCCTGAGCCCAGCTGTCTGCCCTGGTAACTCTTATTCCTTATATCATCCTTCAGTTCCATCACTCCAATTTAGGAGGGACATCATCCCATTTTAAAAGCGATTACTAAAAAACATACAACACCAAGATTCACAAGCAAGAATTCACAGTGGTTATGAGCCAACAGCAGTACCCAGTTTAAGAGACAAAGCACCATGAAGGAGAACAAACTTTTAATAAGGGCTAATACAAGAACTAATATCCTATAAGAATTAACACGAAGGATTTAACTTTTAAGGATGCATTCACAAAGTAGCATTAATCTTCAAATCAAGTTTAATATCCACATTTTATTCAAATAAATTTTTTTAAGGAAAATATCATCCAGCTTGTTTGCTGTGTAAATGCTTTCAGTTTTGAAATATTAAGAGTTAGAAATCATGAAGTAATTCATTGGTTCTTGTTTCTATGTCTCCACAGACAAATATTCCTAGTCTGTGATCAGACATGTCAAAACATTGACTTTATACCCTAGCATTCACCCCACTTCCTGCAGGGTAGCCAAGTCTGTCCTGAGCGGAAGTGTGTCATTAATATCAACATCCTACAGTCTTGCTCTCAACAGACCACTGATTGATCTGTGGTTCCATGTAACAGAGCATAACTAGGTTCTATTTAGTGAGATGTCAAAAACACTGCTTTTCCAGACTGGTGTATCACAGGAGAAATTACTTCTGTTCCTTTAGCAAACAGCATTTTCCATTCACTCCTTACTTCCATCTTGCCTATACTAATATGAATAGAGTTCCTGTTCCTTCTCATAATAAAACAAACCCCAACAGCAGCTTGAAGCTAACTTGGTTTTATTTTCCTGAGCATTACCTAGTGTGTCCCTCAGGTATCTGATGAAGAACAGAAGATGTGGCTAGAACAAAACTCAGCTCTGCCTGATCCATTTTCTTATTCTAGGGCTCCCCTAACCTAGAAGCAGCAGCTTAAGGTCTCAAACAACTTTCCAAGCAAACAAGGACAAGCCCAAAGAATCTGGAAGTTGCAAGCAAGGGGGACTACAGTGCAACAGTGGAATATTGCTCTGTACTGCACAGAAAAAGTTGCTGCAGCTTAGAAGTATAAACAGATTTGAGGCAAGGCTCCATAATTTCACTGACCATTAACTCAGATGCTATTTAGATGTAGCCTCACGCTCATGATGTTCCTGAACTGCTGTTTCTCACATTCTTACAGAGTCTAATAGAGGAAGCATCACACTGAACATACCTGTCTCCTATAATCTTCCCCAAGCACCTGGGAGTTACCCTACCTTGATGAAAGGAAAGTTCCTGGTTAACCAAACTACATTCCATGTAATACATTAAGTATCGCCACTGTTCTATTAGTCTTGCTAAAGTTTTAAAACTCAACTACAAGAAAGTTAACATGTGCAGGAAATTTGTGTTCAAAAAGTTATTTTCTCAGGTGCCTACAGAATACAGTTCCTTTACAGATGCTCATTTCTGTTTATTTTAGGATATCTAATCAACATGCTTCTTCCAAATCCCCAAGTAGCCTCACAGGTTTCATCACACATCTGAAGCTTTGTTTTTAATCCTCATAAAAATCTAGTCTTCAGCTTTCTGTAACCATCCCACTGAGGCAGTCATAGGCTGTCAAAAAAGAGAACACCACCCAACAGAGGAAAGACTTAAACATGCTTTACTTGTTACTGTCATCAGCCCTCAGTTTCACCTAGCTTTTGAAGGTGCAAGAGAGACACCAATTCTGTGGTAGAAGTCAGGTCTATATTTCAAAGCTTCTACTGCAAGAGTCCATGAAATTCTTAAATTTAAGGCGAAAAATAAAGGAGACTGTTAAAAGCAGCATGAACACATACAGAGTGAATGACTACAAGCTCTAGTGCATTAGGACATTTCACTAAGAGCTTCATCTTCCAACACTAAACACCTTTCTTATTCTTCCAGCAGCTGTCAGGATCATATTTGAAGAGATACATTACTGAAGTTACAATCAAGTTAAAGTTCTCCATTATTCAGTATCTTACTGCACTACACATACATTTGACTTGTACCCTTTTGCACTGGCCATTTTTTGCAGCAAAGGTGAAAAACTGACTTTAAGGTGAAAGACTGACTTCACACAGAACTATGTTTGCTGACTCCAGAAATACTTGTAGCTATCTTTTACATTCATTTTCACTGGGAAACGCAAGATAGAAATTTTTTAAAGTAAACTGATGAAAGAAGTCACCAGGCCTGAACAACATATAGAACCAGAGTTGCTATCAAAGCACATAAGTTTTGAACAACATAGCTGACTACAGATATAACAACTCTACACTGTTATTTCACTCGGTGAAAAACAAAAGCCTCAGGTTCTCCAAGTTCCTATCAGTGACAAACTCTATTAGCTAACAAGATTGCCAAAAATCTCCTCATTAGGAGGCTGTCAAGAGAACTGAACAACTAAGAAGAACCAGTTTAACACAGACTACAAATAACTAGGAAAGGGATAAAAGCAACCCCACAAATGGCAAGTTTTCACGCAGATTTGTCTTCCTAGAAAACAGCTGTTTGCCAGGAATAAGAATGAAGGAATACTGAGTAACAATACTGATCTAATACCATCTGCTAACAACATGACTTCAATAAATCGAGTCCAAAACCACTTTAGTCAAACTGCCAATGTAAGTTTCAATAAATAAGTGAAAGGACAACAGGAAGAACAGTGGGAACGATATGCATAGCCAAGAGTTCAGCATCGAGCTGTTAAAGAAAGACACGCAGGGCTCTAGTGAAAAAAAAAAGGACTTTACATAGAGCACACACTGGGCATGAAGTCATGTTAAGGGACATTAAGAAAAACAGGTTTGGAGAGTGCCACCTTACAAGATGAACAGTCACGATGACATGTGGTCGCTGGTTACCAAAACTATTCAAGTGAACTACCACAAAAACAACCAGCTTACACATGACTTGCCGACTACATCTTTTAAGCTTTCCGGAGAAACAAGACGCTTCCCCTCGCTCCTGGGGAAACAGCACACCGAACAACGCTCACACCAGCCTTGTTCCAACCACATTCCCGTCCCGTCCCAAGATGCGCTTCACAACTCCCCATGGAAAACTCCCGCTGCACACCCGGCAGCTCCCCCGCCCAGCCCGGCCGCTCACGGCAGCTGCCGCGGCCCTGACGGCACCTCCGCCGGGGCACGGAGGACCCCTAGGGGGTGCGGCAACTTGACAGCTCCGCGCTCCCCTCTCCTCACCCGCGGCCCCTTCCCTCCCGGCACCCCTCAGGGGCCGCCGCCGCCCGCCTCCTACGGGGCGGCAGCGCCAGCCCCGCCAACCCCGCACCTCCGGGCTGATGTAGGAGACGAAGGAGGGCTTGGCCGCCCTGGCACCGCTGCCCAACATGGTTCCGGTCGCCTCCCGTCCGCCCCTGGAGCCCACGGCAGCACCGGCACCACTCCCCGCCGCCTCTCCTCAAGGGTCCACAGCAGCGCGGGCGGTGGTATCCGGCACACGTAACTGACCCCGCCCACAGCCCACTGCCTGCCCGCTCCTCCAGGGCCGCCGGCCATGCTAGACTTCACGGCCCCGCCGTGCCCAATTCCTATTGGGTAGAGCAGCTGTCAGTCATAAGAGCACGCTGCTCTTATTGGCCTAGAGCGGGACTGCCCGGAGGAGGCGGGACGGTGGCCGGAGGAAAGGGAGGCCGGCAGGGGCGCGGCCCCGGCCGCTGGGGGCGCTGTTTCCGTACCCCGCAGCAATAGGGTCGTACCTTCCGCGCTGTGCCCCAGCACAGCGAGTCCTGCGCCGCGCTCCCGATGGATCCGTGCGTTCCATGGAGCCCCTGTGGAAGTGTCCCAGTGGAAGGTGTTGGAACATGAGGTGGTCCAGGGGAAGGTGTCCCTGCACGTGTCAGGGGTTGGAACATGAGCTAGCAGTGCGCGCCCCCGTCACAGAAACCAACTGCGTGCTAGGCTGCACCAAAAGGAGTGAGCAGCAGGTCGAGGGAGGTGGTTCTACCCCTGTACTCTGCTCCGCTGAGACCCCACCTCGAGCATTGTGTGCAGTTCTGCAACACGCAGCGCAGGAAGGACATGGACCTTGGGTGAGTGCAGAGGAGGCCATGGAGATGCTGCGAGGGCTGGAGCAGCTCTGCTGTGTAGCCAGGCTGAGAGAGCTGGGCTGGTTCAGCCTGGAGAAGAGAAGGCTCCTGAAGGGGGGACCTGAGAGCAGCTCCAGTGCCTAAAGGGGCTACAGGAAACCTGGAGAGGGGCTTGGGACAAGGGCCTGTAGGAAAAGAGTAAAGGAGAATAGTTTTAAGGTGAAAGAAAGGAGATTTAATTTAAATGTTGGACATAAGTTCTTCCCTGTGAGGGTGCTGAGGCGCTGACACAGGCTGCCCAGAGAAGCTGTGGCTGCCCCATCCCCAGCAGTGTTTAAGTCCAGGTTGGACGGGGCTTGGAGGAACCTGGTCTTGTGGAAGGTGTCTGTATCCATGGCAGGAGGTTGGGACTGGATGAGCTTTAAGGTTCCTTCTAACCCAAACCACGCTATAATTCTATGATTCTTGCTTAGCTGCAAAACACCCACCTTGTACTCACACAGGTTCAGATGAAAACGCAGTGTTAAGTAAAATCCACATAAAGCACTGAGATGCTGAGTTTTACCTACATTAGGAGAGGTGTGAGAAAAACTACATATAGCGAGCTCTCCAGGGAATTATTCTCTAAAACCTGCCTGCTGATACACCCCAAGAAGTTCTCTACCTGATGTCTATTAAAGTGTTACAGACGTGACCTCCCTGGAATGTGGCTTTTGGACACTGTATAATCAGCGCTGTAAATAAACACCAGGTTTACCAGGTATCTAGGTTACTTTAGAAAGCTTAATTTTTATGTGGATACAGAACAATGCAAATATTGTAAGCTGCCTGCAGCACTGCAGCAGGACTGCCCAGCAGTTTGAATGATGAATGGTAGGCCAGGAGACAATTTGCTTACGGGGTAGACCTTACGTAAATACTTTTACAGAAATAAAACATACTTTACAAACGTCAGTAGACCACAGGAGGTGGAAATCAATGGCTCTTTCATATATTAATGATAAGCAGCACATTTCGTATTACCCTCCACCTCCGCTATTTTTTGGTGATACTTCATTTTATTAGCCTTATTCCAAACCCCAAACTGAGGAAAACTAAAGGACAAAGAAAAACGGGTACTTGGAGTCATAGGACAGCATTTATAAAAGTAGAATGGAGTGACTCCTTTGATTCAGGAATAAATCGATTTCGCTGTTTTCAGTCTCAAACTCAAGTAAAGAGATGTCCTTCGGCATGAGCCACCTTCAGCCTGAAGGAAAACTCAGAGGTTAGGTTTCATCAGTAGTTTTACAACAAAGGCAGCCCTGGTGTGGGATCCCACGCAGTAGAGCTCTCATGTTTCACCCCACAGCTGCTTCCACATCTTCCCCCTACACAGCATCTGGTCTCAGCTGCATAGGTCAAAAGTAAATCTAGGGTGAGGGGAAGATTTGGACGGCATCTCTGCGCCCTAGTGTAGTATAAATACACAAAGAAAGAGAATAGCTCTATTAAAAACCTCATCTTTCCAGGTGTCTGCATTTACAGTGACAATAGCAGGATTACCTCTAAGCGCACTCTGAAGTTTACAGCAGACTGTATTACTCACTGTATGTATTAAATATTACTTACTGGCATATATTATATTGTACTTGTTATAAGTTACTTACTGGCATAGCATGTGTCAAAGAAGAAGGGATGTTTTGACACCAAGCCAGAGTCTTGACTCCAATGGGAAGTGCAAAAGGAGCTTTCGTTCCCACATAGCACATGGGAATTCATTCCTCAACATCTCATCAAAAAAAGCTCTACATCCAAAAAAAAAAAAAGAAGGAATGAAAATGCTATTCTGCATCGGCAGAATGTCTACATAGTCCCTAATAATGAACAGGGAGTGCTCCTTCCTAGGGTTTGCTCCCCAGGCTGCCAAATGTGCCGGGCTGAACCCATTGCTGAAGGGATTTGAAGCCTTTTTCCTGGAATTTGGGGGCTGGGTTCAGATCCTCACTTTGTCAGGGTGTTCATCTTTCCTGGAAGGGACCAAATAAAGCTATCAGACATCTGAGTTACCTCAGAAAAGGACATTTGCATCTGAAAAGGGCAGCTGCAATCCAGAGGCTGTGCCCCAACACAGCACCGGGGGCTTTGGTGATATTCCCTTTCCCTGGAAGTACCCCTGTGCACCCCTTTCCCTTTCTCTTTTAACTGTGAGGAGTACTCACAAAAGCCAACTTCAGCCCAGCCACCCAACCCATATGTATCCCCCTGTGGAAATAGGGATACGATGAAGGTCAGAGGGGTACCCAAATAAACTTCTTGTTCAGAAACAGCCTCAAGAGACTGCCCAGTGCTCAGGGCACTCAGGAAACTGGCTTGGTGGGACTGGAGTTGGCCTTTCTGAGCAGCCTCCTTCCCTGCCTTGTCTTTACACTCCCCTGTAGCCATCTACTGTTAGTATATATCTATCTATATATTAACTTCTCTGTTAGTTTCACGTGCTCCCTCCCTCCAGCATATTTACTTTGTAGTGTTCTGTGAATCACCCCATCCCCATGAGAAAATAAGATGGTTCAATGCTGTATCATTCAGGATAGTTCTCTTCACTAATAAAGACTACCTAAAAAATTATTTCTGCAACAAACTGAAGTTCCTGGGATGGTGCAGTAACAGGGTTTATCTTTCCATGTTACTTCTACATGGGAAGTCTTGTTCCATGCTGCCAATGACTTTCTGTCCATTAAAAAGAAAAAAAAAAAAAAAGTGAACTTATAAAATTATGTAATTTTTTTTTTTTTTCAATTTTAGGTGTATGTCAATGACAGTCATGCAAATGTAGAAGAGTAAAGCCTTTTAAAAGTCAAGTTCTAGTTTGTCTGTGGTGGGTACAGAACATGGCGTTTCAGTGATATTTTGCCTTTTCTTCTAAAGCTGTGCTTACAGCATTTACCTTTAAAGCCATCTGCAGGAGGGGAACTCACAGAGCAGCTCTACTGTTCCCGTGAACAGGGATTGCTTTGTTTAAAAACCTACATGCCATTAATTTGAGTAATTCTTTGGGCTGAATTCTCAGCTGTGCCCAGGCTCTGTGGGAACCTGTGCAGGGGAGCCACAAAGGAGCTCCTCGCAGCTTTCCTATCAGTTGTCTTTCAGGGATCTTCTTCACTACAACAAGTTGTACCTCTTATTTTCACACTGTGGCAGTCCTATGCGCCAGGCTTGCTTTGGCTCTGGGAAGTGAGTAGCCTGGATAAGGCATTATCCCAGGCAGTATCTGCAGCACAGCTGGCAAAAATCACTAAACACAGCTTTATACCACATTTCAGCTTTTCTGACCCTGGGGCTGTGCAAACCTCAGTGCCTTGGAGAGTCCCAGGGGCGCTTGGGTGGGCACAGTTTGCAGGTCACTATGAATGCTTTGGTGTAGGTTGGGCAGGAGTAAAGAGTTAAAAGTATTAAAAGCCATTCCTGAGCAGTGAGCAAAGTTGCATGCCTACGTCTGAATTTCTCCTCCCTATTTCCTCTTTTTGAAGGAAATAAAAGGGAGTCTTTGACATGCTGAAGACCTGTGAAGGCACCAATGTGTGCAGAGCTTCCTTTCCACAGCGGTAAATCACTGGCAGGAATGTAGCTGTGCTCCCCCTTCAACCTCTCCTCATGGCTGGATCTAGGTCTGGGGGCTGCTTTTAGTAAATGCACTTCCAATGGTGAGACACGTAAAGATTTTGAAATAGCAGCTGGAAAGAGAATCCCACAAAATTACCATTTGTCAATGTTTCCTCTCTTTTTATCCAGAAAAAGCTACCTGGGTATATTCTGAAGATTACTCTTTTTGTTTAACACTTGTCTGGGCATTACCGTAACAATTGCCTTTAGGAGTAGAAATCTGAGTATTTCTGTAGCATGTGCATAATTAGTCTGGCACTTCCCAGAGCACCACAGTTGGCCATGCTTGCTCCAAAGATAGGAGGTGTCCCAAAAGTCTTGTATTTAGCCCAAATATACAGAAATTGGCCATTCCTGTGGGGTCTGATACTCCCTATTCCTATTGTTGACTTTAGGGCTTAGTATATTAAACAGTATGGGACCACCTTAAAGCAGCTGAAATCAGTATGCAAGAAATGGAGAAGATTTCAGATGAAGCTGGAAGTCAGGTTACTGAAATGTACTAAAGAACACTGGAAATTAGGAATGTACTGCAGTGTCCTTTGGGGAAGGTTTTGCAAATCAGCCTGCCTATAAACAGCCCGCAGCTATCTCTGCTTTACACAGGTTAAGGTAATTTCTTACTAAAAGTCATGTATTTGCTTTATGCAAATTAAGAGTATTCTATGAAGAAAAAAAAAAGAGAACATAAAAGAAGGGCTCTCAGATGATGCTTTTAGCACTGGATCCACATTGACATTTTCATCTGCCTGTACTTTCGGGTGTCCTTTGGGAGT